AAAATGTGGCAGCACGTTTTAGGTTTGCAAAGTTACATCTGAACAAACCACAAGATTTCTGGAACAATGTCCTTTGGACTGATGAGATGAAAGTAGAAATGTTTCACCGTAATGCACAGCGTCATGTTGGTGAAAACCAAATGACATTTTAGCTCAAAGACATCATACCGGCTGTCGAGCACGGTGGTGGGTTATGATATGGGCTTGTTTTGCAGTCACTGAGTCGAGAAGCACTCCTCTGCATACCAAAATATTTTAGGGGCCATCTATCCAACACCTAAAGTTTGGCTCTAACTGGATGATGCAACAGGACAGTGATCCCAAGCACAGCTGCAAATTTACAACAGGACGGCTGAAAAACAAAAGAATCAAGGTTGAAACATTCATGATTGAATATCTGAGTACAGAGAATAAAAAACTATTCTGACAATTTGCTCTCACCGTTCAGTGTTAGAAAAAGTCAACATGACAAATCTACAGATTCACACTCTTTGGGATAAAACTGAGACTAAAAATTAAGAGAAAAAACACAACCTCATGAATGCTAAACAAAATTTAAATAGAAGTCACCGTCACAGTCCAGCCAGAGCTTGATTGGTCAGCCTGGCTCCTTCAGCACAGAAGCGACTTGATTCACTCGAGTGCATCATGTGTGTTAAAAACTGCATTATCACAACTTCACAAACACTCATTTTTATGTCGTCAGCATTGTTCAGCTTGGATTTTACCACATGGATTATTATCAAAGAATATGCTACTTTGGCCTGCACTATAAACTCTGAGGCAGAGACTAACTCCCAGTATCCCTACAGCAGAAATGGATCCACAGCATTTCCAAGTCGCACATCTTCATAACACGTGAAGAGTGAAGGGGTTAAAAGATAAACCTCTAAATTAATCTGCATGACAACAAAACTAATTCTCTGAGAAACATTACGGTTTCTAGTCTGGTTTTTCCTTAACTGTGACCCTGAAATGACTTCTTAACCAAGTTGTGACCCAAGAAAATGTTCCAAACTTTAAAGAAGCTAATTTTTCCCACTCAGGCAGCACTCACCTGTCTGTGTGGACTTATGATTCCTTTTTCTTTCCACTGATTGGCGGCCACAGCAAAGACTAGTAGCCATGATGAATGTAGCAGCTCTACTCTGTTCCCTTGACTTTGGCTTCTCCTTTTAAACTACACACATTTCTACCGTCGGTGTATTACGACCTAAGGTCGATTAGCGACTCACAGCCTTATCAGCTAATCAGTTACCAAGGTCAAAACACCAAAGAGCGTTGCGTTCAAGAGCACACATTAAAGTGGCAGCTGGTCTGCCAGGGTTAAAAGAAAACTAAGTGACTAGCGCTTTGGTTTACTGTTTTACTGACAGACAGATGAGGGTGTATCTGACTGAGATAGTGATGGGGTTGTTTTTTTTTTTTAAAAAAAGAAAAGTTTTTTGGTATAATGCATTGAGAAAATATACAACAAATGCTGAATGCAAACCCAGCAGAGATAAAGTCACAGTGTCATGGTCACAAGAAAAAAAGAGGAGATTTTAGCAATTTATCAAGAATTATATCTGCAGAACAAATTTACAATTTCAACTACATATGTTAAATGAGGACTTTCCAGTCAGATATTCATATATTTTCTGTAGCATTGATTACATTTTACTTAAACAGCACCAAATCATAGCTACAGTTACCTCAATAAGCTTCAGACTATAAAGACCCTACAAAAATAGAAAGAAACCCCAACAATCAGTCGATCCCTTGTAAGCAAGTAGAAAGGAAAAACTCCCTTTTAACAAGAAGAAACCTGGTGTCAAGTCATTTAACTTTTAGCCTCTAACTAAAGCAAAACCAAAATTGTTTTTTCTGGGATAAATTGATATTTAAATTAAACCAGGTTCCCAATAACCCTGACTTATTGTAAACAGCACAGAAAACGTTATGGACCGAGCTACACCATGCATCATTTGTAAAGCGTGTCATGTTTGTTTCCCTTTGTAGCTCATTTGGTCAAATTTCGAGTCCCTCAGACAACTGTGGACTTACTGTAACCTCAGCAGGAAACTAAACAGGCAGGTTCTTTTATTATGCTTGAATAAGGAGGGAAAAACAGAAGAGGGAATCTCCCCGTTAGCGGTAGGAAATCCTGTCCTATCATCCTGTCGCACTGATTTAAGTAGCAGAGACTGAACCACTGAACATCATACATACACAGCACGTCCAGTTGGCGTGAGAGTGAGAAAACTCCAATTAATAAAAGGAGAATCAAATACACACTTTAAATCAGCACACGCACTCTAACACTAACCTCTCCTCCAGGTCGGCTGATGGCTCAGACTGTGGTGTGTTTGTCGGGTCAACACGCTGATGGATACAGACAGACTGTGGAGCAGTTTAATGAACACCTCTTGGCTCTCCTGAACCATCTCAAATAGAGACATCTTTCCTTCAGAGAGCAGTTCGTACCATCTCTGTGAGCTTCCTTTCTTTTTCTTTTTTTTCGTGAGGCGTCTTTTAAGCTGCCTTCCTCTTCCTCTCCTCGATTAGACTGCAGAGAGTGTGATTATTTATCTCACTCCATGTCTGGGCTGCGTTTATCGCAGGAAAAGAGGGGTGGAGGGTGAGCTAAGACATAAATCCCTCTCCAGCTAATTGCAACTGGCTCGGCAATACGTGCACGGGTGTCATATATCACAGGCTGAGACTGACTCTGGGTTGGCCGTTTGGAGATAAAAGTAAACTCAAACTATTTATTTACTGCACATTTACGTGCAAGTAGCAGCAAGTGGTTTATGAGCATACCACAGTGTTTTTCACCACTTCTATCCAACACAAGGACTTAACTCTCACATAGTTTCATTTTCTTAACCAAATTCCTCAACTGCATTTTTAAAAGTTATTATTCATTCATAGATCATGAGGAGTCAAAAAGCTCTAATAAGCATGCAGCTCACACAATGGGAGCTTCTGACTGTGGCACTGTGGTACCGGTGATAGGGAAGGAAACTAAAATTACACTGGTGCCATCTGCAAAGATCTCCACCACCTTTAGAGTATCGCATTACCTTTATTTCACTTAAATCATCATCACACAATCGCACAAGCATTTCCCAATTTAAAAAGTACAAAGCGCGCAAGCAAAAGGTGGTCATGCACTTTTCATTATGTGGCATTCTGCACAATTAGATTTATTAATGAATCAAGTAGCAATCCAAAAGATCAAAAACCTATTCCCTCCAACTGAAACCGTCTGCAGACGTAGTCACACTGACAACAAACTGAATTATCCCGCCTTATTCCTGGTAAAGCCCATTGTCCGACTTAAGTGCTCCTGGAAACTTTGGGACAATTACTTGGTGTAATATTTAGCAATGTTACAATCTTTCATGCCCTTATTGTGTAACTGTTACGTTTCCAAATAAGAGGAGCGCACCATTTAAGCTAAAGCAAAAGCAGAGTTAAATACGCAAAGAAAGGCTGCAGGCTCAACACATTAGACAACATTATGTCCAGCACGAGGTACAGGGCTTGTATTAAAGACCATTACCAAGTCGATAGCTGAAGTCATTTGAAGATGACAATTTAAATTGAAAAAAATAATTTAAATAAATGTAAAAAAAAAATTGAAATTAAAAAAAATATATAAAATTTAGAGGACCTGACCCTGTAAAGCCTGAACTGTGAAATATTTGCCAAAAATATATGATTTATTTATTTTTCTTGTGAAACCAGAGTGTTTATTGAATAGTCTGATCACAAATAAAATCTAACTGCATATATGAGTTTGAATTTGTATCATTTGTGCTACACCCAGCATTTCTGTGCAATTTGTGCTCACAGTTTATCTTAAAATAAATGAAAACATAACATAAACATGTAGGTCAGTTAGGACTAAAAAAAAAGCAATGAATAAATCTCATCACACTGCTGATGTAGAGGTCTAAACAAACTATGTATCAAAGATGATACATTTGGCATTACAGGGTTAATAACCAGTAGCAAAGCTAGACGATCTTTATAAGAGGAGCAATGCTGAGACCATTAACTACACTATGGTGGCACGGAAACCGACGTCTCCTTTGTGGCAAATTCTTGTAGCCTAATAGTATTTTTTGTTGTTCTTTTTGTTTTGTTTTTGTCATTCACACCTCATTTGTCTATAGATGAACTGAGGCACTGCACCAACACCCAGTGTACGTGATAAATGAATATCACTTTGCACTGTGAATCGTGAGCACAAGTATTCAAAAACAGAGCTCCTTTCACCAAAACAAAATCTTGCATTAGGCATACTAAATAAAGTCTTCTTCGCAGTTATCTTGTCTTAAAATATCATATGAGCAAATTATGTCAATAGATTCTAATATTTCTGCTCATCTGCTGCAAATCCTGCCAAACTGTCTGCTCTGTGATTGGGTGTAAACTCATTAAATATAGTATATCTGGGCAGAATTGCAGTTCTCCTACTTCTTCTAGAAGCTCATAAATCATTTATTTTTTTAATAAACCACGAGATTTGCTTCACACATAAACTGCGATTTGTATTAATAAATAATTAGCAATTTGACTGCTCCAGTGAAATGCTCAACTGTGTGAACATGTGAACTCGGTATCTGTAATTTGCGAATGACAATGATTTGTGAGACAGGACACTGGCATCAATTGCAGATGCTGGCAAATTGCTTTTGTGAAACTGGCCCCAGCTGACTAACTCCAACACCTGCTGTTTAGAATTCATAAATGCTGCGACTAACCTCTCAAGCAACTGGCTTCAAGCACTACGTGCATATTTGTGAACAATATAAATAAGCACAGATTGACTTCTGTACAAAATATCATATGTAAAGGACTGAAAAAGCTAACTTGGATACCTGGAGAAGACTATAAAGATGTGTTAATGTACGTTTTGCTTTCAACAGAACCACAGATGAGATGACGTGAGATGTGATAAGCAGTAATGTGGTGCGACGGAGCGTCCAATAACGCGAGGCTCTCCTTACCGCTGATCGTCGACAGCACCTCCACGGCTTGCTCTACGTCTTCTGGAACAGACGTCCCCTGCCCCATCCTTATCCTGGACACCCAAACCTCAGCAGACTGTCCTCCTCACATGTACGTGACTGCTCCTAAAAAAGGGCACAGATGCTGAACGTTACCAAAAAGAAAAGAACAAGTAGATCTGCAGCTTGAATAAAAATTATTTTTAAAAAGGAAAACAGCAACAATAATAAACCGTGAGCATACTTCGGCAGCAGTTTAAGTGAAACAACGAAGGAGAAATGGTGAGAACAGAAACCGGCTGATGCACTATCCATTTAATTTGGTCAGCAGAGAGGGAGGGGGAGGAAGGAAGAGACACCCAGGCCACAAGGCAGTTTTGAAATTGCGTAACACAATTTTAAACCATCCATCCCTCTGTGTAGCAAACACACACTTCTGCCTTCAGTGGTGTTAATGACATTACCACTGCTAATTTTATCTTGTCATTAAGCTGTGCTGTACAGTGAGCAGTTTATTTTTGCATTTTGTGTTCAACTTAGGTCGCCCGGTTTATTTATGACAGACTCGATTTCGGGGGCTTTTCGGCACGGCATGCTGTTGTTATTGTCTAAAACTGATCACATGATTGTGTGGGAAGCCCAGCCTAACAACTGTCTTCCTTAAACCAACACATCCAGTGATCCATGTCAGGATCTGCTGACCGATTCAAGTTAAAAGCACAAGTCAGCACTTTATAAGCAAATATTGCTTCAGCTGAAGTGGTTAGTTTCAGTTATGATATCAAGTGAGATCAAACAGTGTCAATGTCAGAATTTCAGGCTGTTTTCTGGCAGGTGAGATCTATATTACAGCAACACAGACTCCTCTCCTCTCTTCACCACACACACGCACAGCTCTGATGACTTCTGGTAGAACAATCAAAGCAAATTTGGTCAATTCCCTCTCCAATTACCAGTCCCCCCTGACAGAGGCTCCTTTCATTGCTTTGACAATAGAACAGCATGCTCTTAGTCATATGGACTGAGATCTTGTGACGTGGTAATAAGCCAAGCTAAATAAAGACAAGGCCAGTTCCACATGCAATACAATGTGACACTTTTAACAACCAGGTTCACAGACATGACCTGGGGTGGGGTGTGAGGGGTGGGGATGTCCAGAGCTTGTGGAAATAAAGGCATCGGCAGTTTTAAGCTCATGTGTTTTTCGCCAAGAAAACACACTTTCAATTTCACTTTCCCGCCATGGTTAATATTGGTCTTCGGACCAAAAGGAGGGAAGCCAGGCAGACTGGACTTTGCCAGGGTTTAACAAACTGTACACCTGAATGCAAAGAAAAAAAGGTAGGAGATAATAGCGAAATAAATCAGATCACAACACACATGAATGGAGTCCCAAAATTAATTCTTTTTAGGGTTCTCCAAATATTTTTCAAGAAAAATAGGCAAGCTTTCTAATCATTTCTTTAAGTACTCAGGAATCGTTCTCCAGGCTTCTTGGAGAACATTCAAAGCTCTTCTTTGGATGTTTCTGCCTTTTATTGTGTTCTCTGTCAAGATTATCCCACACTGCTTCAATAATGACGAGGTCCGGCCTATGGGGAGTTCATTTTGTGTTTTTCTATCCAGAAATGCTTTTACTGCACTGGCAGTCGATGCAGAAAAATGAAGCTGTTGTCAGTCAGACAACAGATGATATAGCATGGTGGATCAAAATCTGACATTACTTACTGGTAGTACTTCTCTGTGTTTTGTGATGTTGAGGATCTCTCAGTTTTGACAAGGTCCCCAACATCACTGGATGAAACTAAACCCCAGACATGATACAGCCTCCACCGTGTTTTACAGATGGCTGTAGATGCAATCTACAATCTGATTTGAACCACGTTTGGATTCAACACTCCATATGACCCGTTGCCCCTGATTTTCATGACACTTCTTTTGTAATTTGTCAAACCTTAGCCCTTTTTTTTGACAGCCATTCTTCCACTGACAACATTTGGCTTCAGGGAACAGTAGATGGATGTGTTGAAGGACCATATGCATCTGTTAGGTCCTGTCAGTTCTTTGCTGTATATCTTCCTATTTCTTAAGGACATGACTTTCAGATACCTTTCTGCTTCTTTTGCCTTCCACTTCTCCCGTTTCCTCAAAACACTGGTCCACGCCTTAAGTTAGGTGGGGGTTTTTTTATGCTTGAATGATTCATGGCTTAACAAACAAACTACAAGAAAAAAAACATTCCTCTGACAATGGTCAGGTACAAGGACTGGATTGAAAATGAGTGAAAAAGTAACCAATGTCCAAAGAAAAACTTAGAAAGACCATCAGAAAGTCTTGAACAAGAGCACTTTTTAAAAAGTAATTCTGGCTCATTGGAAAAAAAAAACTGAAGCAATTGAGAAGTGGTTCAAGACTTTTGCACAGCACTTTGCAATTACTTATATTTTTCGTTTTACCTACTTACATTTTATTCATGTTTTACTCACACAAGTGCATAAATGAGTCAGTCAGTGTGAGCCGAATTGTCAGTCTAAGGTGGTGACTAACAGGATCCAAGAAATCAAATCTGAGGACCGCGCACTTTTTGGAAGAAGGGATGCCAAACTTTCGCAGAATAACTGAATTTGTCCTACCGACAGATGAGCTGCCTCCGAGCGTCCGGAAAGGAAACTCGCCGATATACAGCAATACTGACACTTGTAGAATAAAATACGCTGTAAGCTGACGATATCGGGCATGCCTGTGATGAAAGTTACGTCCTACCTGCAAGTTTGCAAACCAGCAGCTCCGCCCACTCCAAGCCAATTAACAGGACCCAGCCAAGTCTCAGTGCTACCTCCTCTTCCTCTCATTTTTCCTTCTTCATCTTGCAGCAGATTAAACTCTACACACCCCTGTCCCTTGGACTATGTTTGTTGATATTATTCCAGTAATAAATTCCAAGGTGACTGCGCGAACTGAGATTTTTATTGTGTTGTCCAAAGTATTACTCACTTTTAGCAGATGTGTCTATTTTTTAGTCTTTGTGAGTCGGCCTCGAAGGATGCACCTCCTGGTGTGGGACTACATGCATATGAAATATTTCCATTCATTTACTCTACCAGATGATTTTGCAGGATTTTCTCAAGTGTCCTACCCCGTATATCACCAACAACAGGGACACAATGGCATCTAGTGGCGGAATAATTCAGTGCAGAAGACCCACGTCACATTAAAAAAATGATATTTTAAATAAGTGTTCAGAATATACAAAAATACAAAGAACACTACAAATGTTGTATATTTTTGACACTGTATTTTTTCTGTTCTGTGGAGAAAATATGAAAGATCGGGATAAAAATTAAAACACACTTGTGCCTAAAACTTCTCACTACTCAAAAAATACAAAATAATTATACACAATTTTTTAACATACTGTTCATTCCATAGATTATAATGTCTACATTGAATATTGTATCGTCCAAAGCAACAGACACTGCACAAGAGAGGTAAAGAAGAGAGCGGAAGCAATGGGTGGAGATGAGTGTCAGGGTTGATTTGTGACAGAAGGATAGCAGCAAGAGTGAAAGGGAAGGTTTTAGAAGATGGTGAGACCTGCTATGATGTATGCTGTGTGGTTTGGAAGCAGTGAGACTGACAGAAAGACGGAAGGCTGAGCTGAAGTTAAGATTTCCACTGGGACTGATCAGGATGTGGAAGACTAGAAATAAGTTGGTGGATTGTGGAAAGTAAAAATCACAATGATTCAGTGGTCATTAAAATGTGTTCAGAATTTGCAAATTGATGGTGATTCATCTCATAAACCTGGACACATTGCTCTCTATAAAAACTATCTTTATAATTAAAAACTAATGGTTTCGGCAATACTGGCCCTCTATTTACTTGGTATCAGATTGTTAACATAATTTGCAGCACTACTATGTAGCTACTTAGCAGCTATAAAAATTATTAATTATATTTGGTTATTGATCCCAGTTTAGCTGTGACTTACAGCATTTGTCGTCAATGTGTGATTGTTTAAAATCAAAAACTTCATTTTCCTACGCAACATAAGAACAATTCGGAGCCCAAACTTTTCAGTGATAATTAATCATCAAGATGCATTTTATACTTTTTTGGTCATCTTTTTACAAAGATAGGTGTCAGGACAGATAGATGGAAACAGTTTTAAGTGATAAAGGTTATCAGCTGGGCTTGACATCACAATTGTTTGGAAGTCTTAGATATCCGTCCATATCCACTTGTATGGACTAAAAATCAGTTCATAGCTGTTTTAGTCAAGATAAAAAGGACACGTCCTTGATGTTTGAGTCAGTTCTGCGAACAGCTCAGTGACTGCAGACTGGGTGTGTTTGGGACTATCTCTGCAGTACATACAAAACTTTGAAACGAATGTACTGATGCATACTTCCAGAGTGGGGAGCTCTACCACTGATCTAGGAGGTTTCAAACTGCAGAAGACGAGCAGGCCATTTAGATAAAACAGGACAAAAGCCTATGTGTAAGTGCCATTTGGATTCCCATCGGACCAACCTACAGGAGCAGGCTTACACTGGCATAAATCATCGCTAATGCATTTCATCGCACGGTGCATGCCCCATACATTTCTTCCATCTGATCCTCGGCCACTGACAGCCATATTGTACATCTCTACAGTTAGCTGTGTCAGGTTTGCGAGGAAAACTGCAGACATGGGCGGATATTTGTGTTTTTTCTTCAAAATAAAGTTCGAGCTGAAGGGCTGAAAGCGGTCCGCAGGCTACCTAATTCTCTTACATATTTAAATTTTCTGGAATCCACTTGTATGGATACATTAGGGAAAATGACTGTGGGGGGTTGATTTAGTCCCGCTATTAACTATTAATTACTGCTTCTGTGTTTAGTCATGTTTTCCTCATTAATTTTGTTGTGGTTTTCCCCTTGTTTTTGTCAGCTAACTTTAGCTATATGACAGGAAACTACAGAAACAAAAAAGGGAAAGCACATTATGTCTAGAAAAAAAAATGTACAGACTCATGCTTTAAAAAAAAACCTAATGAACAATAGAGTAAAAATAATAAAGAAAACAATCAAACTTAAGTTTAAAACAAGTATTAAATATTCAGGATCATTGCAATGTGAAAAATGTTGGCTGTTTTATATGCAAAGGTACGGAAGATATCAAATCTAAGAGTATGTTCATGAACTGTAAACAGATGTAAACCGCCTTATGATAATATTGCCCAGTTAACTATGTAGTTTTATTTTTATAGTTAAGACCGGAAGTTGTGTTACTTTATTCTGGCTGGCTCTACAGCGACTCCCCCC